CTGATCTACAGATTCAACACATTCATTAAATCTAACCTGAAATTTTTTGGCAGAAATGGACAAGAGCAGCTGAAAAGACACAAAGAAATTCAAGAAAATCAGAGGACCAAGAAAAAGAAAAAGGAAACTGGGTGTATTACTGGCAGCAGATTAATATAGATGAATAGGAATAGTATCTAGAAATAAAATCTTACATTTATGGTAAACTCATTTTGATGACGATACCAAGATCATTCAATGGGAAATAAGTTTTCCCAATACATGATGATAGGACAAATGAGAGAAGAGAATGAAGTTGAACCCCAACCTCAAGCCATATACAAATGTTAACTCAAAATGCATCATAAACCGAAGAGATGAAGGTATAAAATTCTCACAAGAAAATAAAATAAAGGAATATATCTTTGTGTCCTTGAGTTATGCAAAGACTTCTTGAGTCTTTAATTCAACAAAAAATAAACTGGACTTCATCAAAACCCAAAATATCCAGCAAAGAATACCATCAAAAATATGAAAACAGTAAATGAGAGAAAAGAACTAAAAAACTTTCATCTCATATGAGATTTTTTCAATAATACATATAGAACTCTTAAAACTCTCCCAACAAATAAGAGTCTGGGGCCAGATAGCTCTCCAGGGGAATTCTACCAGACATTTAAAGCTGTTCTCCCTTTGAAGCTATTCTAAAAAATAGAAATGGAAGCAAAACTTCCAAACGCATTCTACCAGGCCTTGATTTTAAAAGCAAAGATCCCACTAAAAAGGAGAACTACGGACCAATTTCCCTGATGAACATGGATGCAAAAATTCTCAACAAAATACTAGCAAACTGGATCCAGCAATATATTAAAATAATTCTTCATATTCTTGGGATGCAGAGCTGGTTCAATATCTGCAAATCAATCAATGTGATACATCACGTTAATAAAAGGAAGGATAAGAACCACATGATCCTATCAGTAGATGCAGAAAAAGCGTTTGACAGAATACAGCATTCTTTCTTGATAAAAACCCTCAATAAAGTAGGGATAGGAGAATCATACCTCAAGACCATAAAGGTCACATACAAAAGACCACCTTCAATGGGGAAAAACGGAGAGCTTTCCCCCTAAGGTCAGGAACGCAACAAGGATGTCTACCCACACCACTGTTATTCAACATAGTACTGTAAGTCCAGCAATCAGACAACATAAAAAAACAAAAGGCATTCAAATCAGCAAGGAGGAAGTCCAACTTTGACTCTTTGCAGAAGACATGATACTCTATGTGGAAAACCGAAAAGATTCCACCAAAAACTGCTAGAATGGATACATGAATTCAGCAAAGTCACAGGACACAAAAATCAATGCACAGAAATCAGCTTCATTTCTATACACCAATAATGAAGCAGCAGAAAGAGAAATCAAGGAAATCAATCCCATTGACAATTGCACCAAAAACCATAAAATACCTAGGAATAAACCTAACCAAACAGGGGAAAAATCTATACACTGAAAACTGTAACAATTTTATGAAAGAAATTGAAGAAGACACAAAAAATGGAAAAAAATTCCATGCCCATAGATTGGAAGAACATAATTGTTAAAATATCAATACTACCCAAAGCAATCTACATATTCAATGCAATCCCTATCAACATAACACCAGCATTCTTCACAGAACTAGAACAAACAAGCCTAAAATTTGTATGGAACCAGAAAAGACCCCCATTAGGCAAAGCAATCCTGAAAAACAAAACCAAAGCTGGAGGCATCACAATTCCGGACTTCAAGCTGTATTACAAAGCTGTAATCATCAAGACTGTATGGTACTGGCACAAAAACAGACATATAGATCATTGGAACAGAATAGAGAACCCAGAAATGGACCCACAGACATATGGCCAACTAATCTTGGACAAAGCAGGAAAGAATATCCAATGGAAAAATAAGTCTCTTCAGCAAGTGGTGCTGGGAAAACCGAAGAGTGACATGCAGAAGAATGAACCTGGACCACTTACACCATACTCAAAGATAAACATAAAGGAATATATAAAGGATGAAAGACCTAAATGGATGAAAGACCTCAACATAAGACAGAAAGCCCTCAAAATCCTAGAGGAGAAAATAGGCCACAATCTCTTTGACCTCAGCTGCATCAACTTCTGACTGGACATGTCTCCAGAGGCAAGGGAAACAAAAGCAAAAATGAACTATTGGGACCTCATCAAAATAAAAAGCTTCTGCATAGAGAAGGAAACCATCAACAAAACTAAAAGGCAACCAATGGAATGTGAGAAGATACCTGCAAATGACCTATCAGATAAGGGGTTAGTATCCGAAATCTATAAAGAACTTATCAAACTCAACACCCAAAAAAAACAATCCAGTGAAGAAATAATCCAAAAGACATGAATAGATACATTTCCAAAGACATCAGGATGGCTGACATATGAAAAAATGCTCAACACCACTCATCATCAGGGAAATACAGATCAAAACCACAATGAGATCCCCCCCCACACCTGTAAGAATGGTTAAAAATTAACTCCAGCAACAACAGATGTTGGTAAGGATGTGGAGAAAGAGGAATCTTTTTGCACCGCTGGTGGAAATGCAAACTAGTGCAGCCACTCTGGAAAAAAGTATGGAGGTTCCTCAAAAAATGAAAAACAGAACTAGCCAATGACACAGCAATTGCACTGCTAGGTATTTTACCAAGGGATACAGGGGTGCTAATTCAAAGGGGCACGTGCATCCCAATGTTTATATAACAGCATTATCAGCAATAGCCAAAGTATGAAAAGAGCCCAAATGTCTATCGACTGATGATTAGATGAAGAAGATGTGGTATGTATACACACACACACACACACACACACACACACACACACACACACACACACACACACAATGGAATAATTACTCAGCCATCGAAAAGAATGAACCCCTGCCATTTGCAACAATGTGGATGGAACTAGAGTGTATTATACTAAGCGAAATAAGTCAGTCAGAGAAACATAACTATCGTATGACTTCACTCATATGTGGAATTTAAGAAACAAAACAGATGAACATAAAGGATGAGAAGCAAAAATAATATCAAAACAAAGGGAGACAAACCTTAAGAGACTCTTAAATACAAAGAACTGTGGGTTGCTGGCAGGGTGTTGGATGGGGGGGCAGGGGGAAGGGCTGAAGGGGTGAGGGGCAGTAAGGAGGGTACTTGTTTTGATGAGCACTAGGTGTTATATGTAAGTGATGAATCACTAACTTCTATTCCTGAAATTATTACTACACTCTATGTTAACTAACTTGGATTTCAGTTTTAAATAAATAATAAAAAATATTAAAATAGTTGCCAAGGGAAGAAAAAGAACTCTTAAAGCAGAATAATCAAAAGACAACCCAATTAATAATGGGCTATAACTTAATACACATTTCTCTAAAGAATATACAGAAACGGCTACCTGATCACACGAAAAGATGCTTAACATGATTAGCTATCAGGGAAATGCAAATCAAAACAACAGTGAGATACCAATTCACACCCGGTAGGATGGCTGTAATCCAAAGGAAGGTAAGTGTTGGCAAGGATGTAGATCAATCAGAAACTTTAGTACACTACTTATAGGAACGTAAAATGTGCAACTTCTTTGGAAGACAGTCTGGCAATTCCTTAAAAATCTAGACACAGTTACCGTATGAGGAAACACTTCTGCTCCGAAGTATGCACCTAAGAAAATTTAAAACCTATTGTCCATATAAAATATTGCCAGTAAATATTCATAGCAACATTACTCATAATAACCAAAAAGTAGAAACAAGCCAAATACCCATCATTTGATGAATGGGCGAACAAAATGTAGTATATCCATATGATGGAATATTACTGGGCAATAGAAAAAGGAAAAAAAAAACACTAATGCATGCTATACCACAGATGAACCTTGAAAATATGCGAAATGAAAAAAAGAAAAGAAAAATATGCTAAGTGAAAGGAACTGGACAGAAAAGGCCGTATAATTTATGATTTCATTCATTTGAAATGCCTCCAACAGACAAATTCTTAGAAATTACTTTTTGCCTTACACTGGAGAAAAGGGAGAATGAGGAGTGGCTAATAGGTGTAGGATTTCTTTTTTTGTTTTGTTTTTAATTTTTTTTTTTTAACGTTTATTTTTTTGAGACAGAGAGAGAGCATGAACGGGGGAGGGTCAGAGAGAGGGAGACACAGAATCCGAAACAGGCTCCAGGCTCTGAGCTGTCAGCACACAGCCCGACACGGGGCTCGAACTCACGGACCGCGAGATCATGACCTGAGCCGAAGTCGGCCGCCCAACTGACTGAGCCACCCAGGCACCCCTCTTTTTTTGTTTTTAAATTTTTTTAATGTTTATTTATTTTTGAGAGACAGTATGAGCAGGAGAGGGGCGGGAAGACACAGAATCTGAACCAGGCTCCAGGCTCTGAGCTGTCAGCACAGAGCCCGACGCTGGGCCTGAACTCACAAACCATGAGAACATGACCTGAGCTGAATGAAGTCAGATGCTTATCCAACTGAGCCACCCAGGCGCCCCTAGGATTTGTTTTCTTTAGAGTGTTAAAATGTACTGGAAATAAGATAATGGTAATTGTTGCACAACTCTGTAAATACACCAATGTGAATTTCATGTAAGATACTAATGAGTTGTACACTTTAAATGGATGAATTGCATGGTATGTTAATTATATCTCTCAATAAAACTATTTTAAAAACAAAAGTAAAATAAAGACATATCCAGATAATAGTCAAATTGTTGATGCAGTTTTTGTATAGTGTGATTTGGACATTTTAGTATTATTCTTCAGTGTCCCTCTACTTTTCCTCAGCATAGAGTTTTCTGTTGAACATGTGTTATTTTATTAATTCCAAAATGTAAGTTCGTAAAAATACATAAGGATACGTTAAACCACAGTAGTCTTTATAAAATACTGTTAGGTTGTGAATTTTTTTCTTGTAAGTAAAAGAAAAATACTTACTTAATTGCTTGTGCCCCTGGTCTTTGCACGATCAAAGTGCTAAATTCTTCCACTACAATATCTAACAGTTCAGGTGTTTCTCGTTTTTCTCTTAGAACAATAGACATACTTTTCAAGTGAACAAAAAACTTCATGGCTTCAAACTAGAGTGTATTCAGAGGAATAAAATGCGAAGAAAACATATATGTAAATACAACAAATACTCTCATTCATATACTTTATTCTTTCCAATAACCAAAAAATACTTTAAAAACAACCCTTTATATATTAAATTATCACCACATTAACATTAAAAAGTAGGGGCAATTTTTATCCTTACCTTCGAAATTAAAATAAGGAATACTTACAGACCAAATATCAAAACAAGTCAGAAACCTACTTCTGAGATGATTAAAAACAGGCCTATCTATCATTAAACTCTAAGGTATAAGGCAATAAAACATCTTACTGTTTTAGGCAAGGTTGGATCAACTGCTGTTTCACTGTAGCCAATTGCTTCATAGAGTAAAACTTTTTCTTCAGGTGTCAACATTTCTTCAAGAACTACAAATCATAAAGAAGTGTTTTTCATTCTTAACTGGTAAGATAAAACTAACCCATAATTTAGCTGCCTTTAACAAATGAAATGCAAATTTAACTCCTTTTATACTTGTAAGAAATTATAAAAAAACTTTGTTAATTAAAAATTTAATGTTTATTTACTTTTGAGACAGCAAGAGACAGAGTGCAAGTAGGAGAGGGGCAGAGAGAGAGGGAGACACAGAATCCGAAGCAGGCTCCAGGCTCTGAACTGTCAACGCAAAGCCTGACATGGGGCTCGAATTCACAAACTGTGAGATCATGACCTGAGCCGAAGTTGGATGCTTAACTGACTGAGCCACTCAGGCGCCCCTTTTTTAATTTTAAAAAAAGAAATCATAACCCCTGAATGTCAGGATGGCATTGGCAATTTTAAAGGATTAGTCTCCAAAAATATAAATTGCTAAATATATAAATTTAGCAATATAAATTTCTAAGTATTTGTATTAAGCTCACAAAATGGCTAACAGTATTACACACTTAATGGCATTGTGCTAAGCAACACACTTAGCATACAAAGTAGGTAGTATTAATATCATAATCTTCCCATTTTACAGATGACAAAATTGAGATTCAAAGAGTTTAAGTAATCAGCCTAGGATACACTGCTAGTAAGTGATAGATCCAGGATATAAACTTAAGCCCCTAAATCTCCAAAGCTATGATCTTAAATATTTGGTAAGGAAACAAAAACCTTTCCAAAAACAATTTCAACAGAAATGTACAATGGCTTATACCACTTGCAAATTTTCACTTATTACTATCTATATGCATTTACTAAATCCTCTGAGCATAAAGTTCTTCTGTAAACTTTAAGGTAAAAAATTTATTTTTTATTTGACATATATATTTGCAATGTTATAAGAGTTTTATTGAGAGTAAGAATAAGTTACATATGATATGTATGCATATTTTGCTGATTTCAATTAAAAAATTTTCTGCAAAACTTTATTTTCACACCTGATGATTAGCTACACTAAATTAATCTGATGATTAACTGCACTACTATAAAATGAAATGGACCTACTTCCAGGCTTAACATCTGGCTGTTCTTTACTTCTTGGTTCTGACCAAGTCCACAGCCAGCTAAACCATCCTTTATTATCCTCCGAATCTTTTGCTCCTTCTCTGTAAATCCTGTATCCAGCTTTCTTTACCTAAATTTTCAAATAAACGACAAATTATCCTTATTTAGCAATCTAATAGAAATATGACACAAAACTTAACTATGAATATAAACAACATACAAACTGACGACAAAACACAGTAACTGCAACATTAGCCAAACCTGAGAATGTAGGACTACCAGGTACAATCAGCCCTACTGTCTTACAAGTCACGGTGATCACACGACTCCCCCCAAAATTGGATTTTCACCTTCATATGAACTGAGTGTTTGATAAGCCAAATTATTTAGAAAGAATTTTTTCCCCATAGGACCTAATTTAAATGGATGGGGCAAAACATTAAATCAAGTTTTCTTATACTACAAGAGGCAAATTTGAACCCCTTCCAGGAAACAGCATATTATAGCACAACACTAATAATATGACTACATCTGTCAAATCTACACGGAATCTAGATTTACTTTTACTAATTGAAACATAATCTGGAATTACCTCAACTTCTGCCTGTTGTCTTGATATAGTTATATTAAATACATCCAAGACCTTTTCCAACTCCTGAAAATATAAACAAAAGTGTTTTTGAAATAACTTTATATACCTATATAAAGATTATAAAAATTATAAAATTGCATATATAATCTATCAAATTGCTGCACTAAAGCAAAAATGTAATAGGAAGCAGAAAATAGATCATCTATCAACATAATATTCCTGTTAAATTCTGAGACGCAGTGCTTATACATGGGTCAGCCTGGAAACTGTACTGATGGAATAACCTTAACAAAGAAACCACACATGTCATGCACACGGGTGTTACAACCTTGCATGATTCACAGACACATACTAAAAGGTATCACACAGGTACTGCTTAAAATGATTTTGGGGTTTTACTACAACAAGGGTAAACACATTAGTGTCACTTTCAACTAAAAATTATAAATCCTTCATATTATATGCACAGTTGGTGCCATCTTTAATATAAAGCAAGTTGATCTGTATACATTTAAAACTTATTTTGAAATTCTACATTTTCCAAAGTTTTTCTGGCTACTGAAATAAACTGAGATAAGCTAAATATTTCATCATATCAATACATTATTTCCATGATTGTTTTTAAGAATTTCATGATAAAATCTTTTTATCCTCCCTAGGAGAAGCAAACATGACCTACTATTATCCAGAAAACAGCTTGACTCAGAATTCTACTATCCAGCAGACTTGTAGGATTCAGGTTAAGATCCAAAATAATAAGTAAGGAAATCTGTATCCATCCCAAAAGGCCTCTAAACCCAAGCATTCCTAATTAGTCTAAGTCTGCAGAAAGTGTCCCACCTCGAAATAAAAATAAAGCTCAGTCTTCAGGGAGCTCCTAATTGGAATCTGGCCTAGATTCAGAATGGTTAATTTCAAGAAGGTACCTTCCCTCAGTCTCCCTGAACTGAACTTTATCCCACAAAACAAGCCCATCTAGAATATACTATAATGCTAAAAGACTAGTATTTAGGGAGTTCTCAAGACAGATAATGAAACATAAAGTTGCTGGTTAAAACTAGAAATTCCACAAAATTATGACAAAGAAGGCTCTCTGTATGGGTAAAAAGTTCAGGAAAGTCCATACAAGAGATGGTACTTAAGTAGAGCTTTAAGAATGAGTAAAAGTGGGAGAGAGGGAGAGAGAGAGACAGAGAGTGAGATGAGGAAAGGCAGATGGACTTGGCTACAAACGTAAGCATGGTATGTATAAAAGTCAAGAAATTTATTTAATAAACACCGTCAGATGTAACAGAGAAATGGAACAGTGACAGATAATGTAAGCCTTTGAAATAGAGACACAGAGAAGATTGGAATCAATGTAGCAAATGCTTTTTAGGCTTTTGAGGTTAAAAACGTCACAGTGTGAGACTTCAAATTACTATTTGCATGAACCCAGATCTCCGCAGATTCAGAATAGTCTCTAATTCCAACAGGTCACAGGAGAATATCACCAGAGCTCATATCACCCAAGTAAATTAAGAACAGGAGTATGAAAAGGTCTGGGTTAAAAGACAGAGTCAGTCAAAATTGAAGTAGGAAGTGTTAGTCACTAAAAACGGAGGAGTTATGTGGCATAAAATGTTCAACATTTTTTTTAAATGCTAACCTGCAAAGAGAGGAGAAGTTCACCAGTTGGCTTTTTAGTTGTTATCTTTTTTTTATACAGTTCTTTATACTGCTTCATTTTTTGCCTGTGTTCTCTAATATACTTCCATGACCACATCCGTAACCGGGGGCAGACATTTACTTCCAGAATACCATGTATAGCATAAGTCCACCTATAGTAAAAAAACAAAAACAAAAACAAAACCCTACACTTAACACCCTCAAACCAACAGTAGGAAATAAAGTTACTTCCACTCCAAAACAACATATGTACCTATATGGTGTACTATCAAAATGGTGTACTGAGTATCTGATTTTTCCCAGCCCTATTTAAGACTACATTATTAATCTTACCTCCTTCCAAAGTGGAAATAAACAAAATCACTAAATTTTGTTACAAAAAATATAGCTCTACAGAAAAACTATGGAAATATTACTTGGCAAATAGCACTTTAGTCACCTGAATATTAATTAAGAGTCAACTAAATTAAAAGTATTTCCAACTTCTAGAAACAGCAAGAGCTTAATAAGCGATTAAGACTTCTGAATTTAGAAACATTTTTTAATGTTTATTTTTGGGGGGGAGGGGCAGAGAGAGAGGGAGACACAGAATCTGAAGTAGGATCCAGGCTCTCAGCTGTCAGCACAGAGCCCAACACAGGGCTCAAACTCACAAACAGTGAGATCACGACCTGAGCTGAAATCATACACTTAACCAATTGAGCCACCCAAGGCACTCTAAGACTTTGGAATTTAGAAAGGGGTTATACTTCACACACATAACCCGACTTTCAAGTTCAATTATATAGGCTTAAAGTATCTAATACGAAAGTTTGGATTTTTTTTTAAAAAAGACATTGCTAGACACAAACTAGGATATAGTTTTTAATAGTCCCAAAACTATAGTTAATGAATGGTATTCTAGTATCTTTTATAAATTTTCTTAGCATCCCTTGGGGCGCCTGGGTGGCTCACTCGGTTAAGCGTCCGACTTCAGCTCAGGTCATGATCTCACACTCCATGAGTTCGAGCCCCGCATCGGGCTCTGTGCTGACAGCTCAGAGCCTAAAGCCTGCGTCAGATTCTGCATCTCCCCCTCTCTCTGCCCCTCCTCTGCTCATGCTCTGTTTCAAAAATAAATAAAAACATTAAAAAAAATTTTAATTTTCTTAGAATCCCTTAACTCAATTTAACATAATAAGCAAAAGCCATAAATCAGTTTCTATCTGTCCTTTAAGAATATCTTAAAAAGTTATTCTTAAAGTCAATAAATTCACTTTTATGCTATATATTATAAATTTAAAAAATCAGATCAAGCAATTCTACTTCTGGGTATTTATGTGAAGGAAATGAAAACACTAGTACAAAAACATATGTACCCTGAGTATTCACTGTGGCATTAATAACAACAGTCCAAATATGGAAACAACCAAGTGTCCATCAATGAATAAATGGATAAAGAAAATGTGATGTGTATGTATACACATATACATATGTGTATACATACACACCCACACACATGCAATGGAATATTATTCAGTGCTAAAAAGGAATGAATCTTGCTATTTGTGACAACATAGATGGACCTTGAGGACATTATGCTAAGTGAAATTAGACAAAGAACGATCAACACTGTATGATCTCACTTATATATGGTATCTCAAAAAACAAAAATAAAAAAATTGAGTTCATAAATACAGAGTGCAGACTGGTAGATGACAGAGATGAGGCATAGGCAGTGGTTAAAATGGGTGAAGGGGATTAAAAGATCCAAACTTCCAGTTACAAAATAAGTCATGAGGATGTAATGTACCGCATGGTAACAATAGTTAATACTATACTGCATAGTTGAAAGTTGCTAAGAGATCATAAAAACTCTGAAGGAAAAAATTTTGTCATTTTATCTGGTGATGGAGGTTAACCAGACTTACTGTGGTCATCAGTTCACAACATATACAAATATTGAATCATTATAAACCTTAAACTAATGTAGTATGTCAAATTATACCTCAATTAAAAAAAACTAAGCCATATTACCATTCTCTGGCATGATAGTGAAGAGGTACATCAGGTTTGAATTTCCTATATGGCAGATTTTGCGTCATCATATCAACTGACTCAAGAAGCTCCATAATGCTGAAATACTAAAGAATGAAAATATTAAGTCTATTAAATGTTTCATATTTTGTGTTCAACTGTTTAAAAAATTAAATGTTACTCTAAGACACTGTGGATTTCTGAAATACATTTAAAAATCTTAGTTCTGAAAAATAAACATTAAAAAGTGTCTTGGTTCTGCTTTTATCAAATTATAACTCAAAATTTCATTTTAAAAAAATCACCTGTGGTTTATTAAATTCAATTGCTATCTCATGTAACTCAACTTCCAGGTTTATCTTGGGTGCAGAGAAGTCAAAATCCGATCGCCGATTCATCTGAAGTTTGGCATTAGCAGATATGGGGCGAAACACTGGAAAATAATGCAAATTAAAAAAAAATTTTTTATATATACCTCTTCTTTTTTTTTAATATATGAAATTTATTGTCAAATTGGTTTCCATACAATACCCAGTGCTCATCCCAAAAGATGCCCTCTTCAATACCCATCACCCACCCTCTCCTCCCTCCCACCCCCCATTCAGCCCTCAGTTTGTTTTCATTTTTTAAGAGTCTCTTATGCTTTGGCTCTCTCCCACTCTAACCTTTTTTTTCCCTTCCCCTCCCCCATGGGTTCCTGTTAAGTTTCTCAGGATCCACATAAGAGTGAAAACATATGGTACCCTATGACCCAGCAGTAGCACTGCTAGAAATTTACCCAAGGGATACAGGAGTACTGATGCATAGGGGCACTTGTACCCCAATGTTTACAGCAGCACTCTCAACAACAGCCAAATTATGGAAAGAGCCTAAATGTCTATCAACTGATGAATGGATAAAGAAATTGTGGTTTATATACACAATGGAGTACTATGTGGCAATGAGAAAGAATGAAATATGGTCCTTTGTAGCAACATGGACGGAACTGGAAAGTGTGATGCTAAGTGAAATAAGCCTTACAGAGAAAGGCAAATTTTAAAAATTTAAATTGAGTTGTATTTCAAGAGTCTCTAAGTACTAAAGGGATGGAGTTGAAAATATTGATTTTCATTTCTTATACTCTTTCTACTTTCCCAGGTTTGCACACTGCTAAAATTCAGTTAGATGAACTGTCAATTAAAAGATTCTTTTATCTTTTTCCTAACTATAATTTATATTTTCTTCTTTAAGTAAACAGACTAACTGAAATTCCCCTCAAAACACCAACATAACCCTTAAAGACAGGAACACTCTCTAAAAGGCAAAAATAGTGTAAAAAATGTTGACAAAAATACAGTTTTAAAAGAATTACATTCAAAATGCTAAGAGGAAAGAGATTTTATTTAAACACTGACTTCTATTATAGAATTATAATTTTTGAATTTCTGGTCAGTTTCTATGTATCCATCTGCCTCCTTTTGACTTGTAAAAGGAGATTTGAGAAGATGAGTGAGAGTTTACCCAGGATAACCTTCCTGGCTCAACCCATAATCTAAGACAGATTAAACTAAACCTTTTATATTTAGTATCAAAAAAGGATAACAATATTCTTGCAAAGGGAGGCCAGTAGTAGCTCAATCTATAGAGAGATCAACTATTAAATTATCAGCTAATCTGTGTAAGAACATAGTACATTCCTCTGGTTTTAATCATCCCCAAGGCACAGCACTTAATTTTTTTACATTGAGCATTCAAATGTACTCAACATATTATACTCAATTATATACATATGTTGAACTTGAATAAAACAAGATATTCCACAATAGGAGACTGGTTAAATTCATCATGGTACATCCATACAATAAAATACCACACAGTGAAAAATAAGAAAAACTTATATGTAAATGGAAGGATACGTACAAAGCAATAAACCACTAAAATGATTCCTCTCCCCCACCTTTCTCATGTTACATGGAAGACTACACAACTCCCATACCCTCCCTGGTTGCAATCTCTATCCACCCCTGGGTTACAATCTCTCCTACCTCTCTCGGATTTTAGCTCCTGGCAACTCTAATTTCCAAGTGATTTCCACATACAAATGCTCTTTCAAAAACCAAAGCCTCTCAGAACCTTGGACTCCTACCCCTTACTTCATCCACTAAGCCTCATCATGTCCATAGCCCCGCCCTCTCCATAAATTCAGTCTCAAGCATCCAACTCTCCTACCGCCACCACGTACCACTCTAGTATTCTGATACCAAACCTCCAGGTCCTGTGGAACCTAACACTCATTGATCCTATTCTTTCTCTGTCCTTCACCTCCACCTCATGTCCTCGGTTCCCTCCCCACCCTATTAAAATTCTATGATCGGTTATGTTAATCATTGCCCTGCATTTACTCCTCATTCCTTTGTCCTTCTCACTTTTGTCAATGATCAGGCAAAACCCTAATTCTGGATAAAACCCCTCACCATGTATTCTACACCTATAATCTACCACAGAAGTTGAATTTTATCGGGGGAAAAAAAATTACACAGTCACACAGATCGGCCTCACTATGTCATAAATCCCACAGTTCCTCAATGTTGTTGAGAAATCATACAACGTTTAGTCAAGGACAGGCCAAATCCATACCCACAGCATGTTTTTGCACAAGCAGTGAACTAGGAATGATGATTGTTACACTTTTACACGGTTGTTTAAAGGAAAAAAGAAAAATATGTGACAGAGGCTGTATACACATGGCCTTCAAACTGAAAAATACTTAATTTACTACATGGCCCTTAAAAAAAAAAAAAAATTGCCCAACCCCTACCCTATCTCAGTGGCTCTCAAAATTTGGTATTAATCAAAATCACCAAGAAAGCCTATTAAAACATAGATTGCCAAGGTTCATTCTCATAAGTTCCGATTCAGTCTGTCGGGGATGAGCCCTAGGATTTACACTGCTAACAAGTTTCCAAGTAATACTGATGCTGCTAGTCTGAACTGCACTTTTGAGAACACGGTTCTACTCAATTCTCTCTCCCGTTAACCTACATGGGTATTTCACAGCCTCTCCTCCCTCCAAAAACCTCCCAACACCTCACATATTAAGAAGTAAGAGCTCATCAAAGAAATTCCATAAACTATCACCATCTCTACTGCCCACCCAGTATCAGGACTTGTGTCTCACACCTGAAATCTGTCTTATGATTGAACTAATCATGTTCTCTGTGTGGAAAAGCACTCCACTTGTGCATGAGATCCTATCCCCTTTTACCCATATCAATAAAGAAATTATCCCTTCTCTATCTTGCTTCATTTATTCATGTTCTACAGATGATTCTCATCTCAACCTATGAACAAGCTGTTGACTCTCCCATTAAATTAAAAAAAAAGCCTTCAGTCCTCCTTCCCTCTCCAACAGGTATGCCAATTATCAATTTATTATCTGTGAACTCTGAATTCATCCTTCATTGTCTATTCTAAAAACTAGACTTCAGGGGCGCCTGGGTGGCGCAGTCGGTTAAGCGTCCGACTTCAGCCAGGTCACGATCTCGCGGTCCGTGAGTTCGAGCCCCGCATCGGGCTCTGGGCTGATGGCTCAGAGCCTGGAGCCTGTTTCCAATTCTGTGTCTCCCTCTCTCTCTGCCCCTCCCCCGTTCATGCTCTGTCTCTCTGTCCCAAAAATAAATAAACGTTGAAAAAAAAAATTAAAAAAAAAAAAAAAAACTAGACTTGGGCCCTTGAAATATTTTTTCTTTACCAGCTAGCGTAATACTAATCTTTATCAGTAGAGGGCGCCGGAGAGATACTGTAAGAGGAGTTATGTTTGCTGGTTCTAATGTGCTCATTCCACAGACTCCTGCACTGCCATGGTTTTTCCACCACCCAGCTCCCACAAAATGGCTCCTACAGAATTCTGCTCCTTCAGCGTCCCGCTCCTACGGTATGACAGCAGCTCCTACACTATGACAGACTTCTTCAGCACCAGCCTCCTGAACTGCACGGCGACTAGCAGCAGCCAGAAAATTCTCCCAGCACCCTAATGCAGTTCTCCAGTGAAGTGCCTCCCACAGGACAAATCTCTATGAGAATCCATAAAGTTCCTGAGGGTGAATTTCCAACAAGTTTAGAGACTTTCCTGGCAATCGGTGAGCCCTGGTCACATAGATCTCTATGCTGAGGCAGGCAGACCCTCTTCTCTGGGCACTCCATCTTAGTCCTAGGGTAGGGGCAGTTCCTTCTACTATTCCTTTTTTTCTTTAGAGTTCTCTCTACTTGTTAGCGAATCCTTTGTGACTCCAATCCCCTGTTACAGTCATTTTTTATATTAAACTTCCCCTGCTCAAATTACTGTGTGGTTTCTCTCTCATCAGGTCCTGACTATCACAGCAGGAAATGACAGCAGGGCAAAGGAGAATAAGTCAAACTTAAGTGACAGACAGGAGAATCATCAATGCACATGACAAGAAATCTCATCTGTTCCTAATGTTTCCTTTGATGAAAATAATCTAGAAAATAAAACCAAAACCATGAAATGGATAGTTTAAGAGTGAAAACAAGACTCAACTTTAGGAAATTAATAAAGTATAATCATGAAGGTAGAAGAATACAGCAAAGAATCACTGAAGACATCAGACGACCAAAGCTAATAAAGAAGTTACCCACTCACCAATCAGTATTTACTGAGTACCTACAGAGTACAAGAAATGCTACTCCTTTCAACTTGAAATTTTACTCATTTCTGAAAAGTACATGTTCATTTCAGAAAATTTGGAACCAAATGCAAGTATGGAGAAGAAAAGTTTTAAATATACATTTTAAAAATAGTAAGATTACACTACAGACTATGGCAGCTAGCCTTATTAAACTGTATTTGCCATTTAAAATGTCTTAACATTATAATTATTATGAATAGTCCTTAGAGATTTACCACATTTATTACATCCTCTCTCGGGACATTTTTCTTTCCTATAGTTTTGAAATATAGCAAAAAGTTCCCCAACAATGAAGGGCATTGAACAGACAGCTGTTTTATTTGTGCATATGTATTATAAATACCTTGACTTATATGACAAAATTAACATGAAACATCACAGTGACATTAACAATGTTCATTAAAATTTATACCAATTACTTTAATTGTACTTATTTTATAAAATGTACTTACCAAAATCATAACCTTCTGGAACAATATTTTTATTGACAATACCATTCCTCAAGCTGTCCTATTAAAAGACAAACTGCTTTTATTTATATTCATGCCAACAGATCTTTATTCTACAAAATCCTACCATATGCAAAAAAAAAAAAAAAGCTGAAAAACAATTTAAAAAATAAAAAACTCAAACTTAGGAGGACTTAGCTATGGAAAATATTAAACTGGTTAGACAATATCCCATTAAACTACTACTATTAAAGAATGTTCTAGGAACTATTTGAATATATGTGTGTTTTTATATATTTGTGTACAGACACATATATAAAATTTGACAAAATTCAACATCCATTTATGATAAAGAATCTTAAGAAAGTGGGAATGAAGGAAATACACCTTAACATAAGAAAGGCCATATATGACAATCCCACAGCTAACATCATGCTCAATAGTTAAAACCTGAAAGCTTTTCTTCTAACATTAGGAATGAGACAAAGATGCCCACTACTCTTGCCACTTTTATTCAGCACAGAATTAGAAGTCCTAGCCAGAGCAATTAGGCAAGAAAAAGAAAGTAAGGCATCCAAATTGGAAAGGAAGAAATAAAACTATCACTGTTTGTAGATGATATAACATTCTATATAGAAAACCCTACAGACTCCACCAAAAACTGTTAAAACTAATTAATTCAGTAAAATTGTAGGATACAAAATTAACATACAGAAATCTACTGCATTTCTACACACTAATAATGAAGTAGCAGAATGAGAAATTGATAAAACAATCCAATTTACAATTACATCAAAAGGAATAAAATACATAGGAATAAATTAAACGAAGGAAGCCAAAGACTTGTACACCAAAAACTGTAAGACACTGAAGAGACAAACTAAAGATGCCAAAAAAAGGGACCATAGTCCATGCTCCATATTTTAAGATACATTGTTAGAAAGTCCATACTAGCCAAAGCAATCTACAAATTCAATGCAATCCCTGTCAAATTTCCAATGGCATTATTCACAGAAATAGAATGATCCTAATATAAGTATGAAACCACAACAGACCTCAAAAACCAAAGTAATCTTGAGAAAGAACCTGGAGATATCACAAGCCTTGATTTCAAATTCTATTCAAAACTACAGTAATCAAAACAGTATGGTATTGGCATAAAAACGGACACACAGATTAATGGCATAGAATAAAGAGCCCAGAAATATATCCATGCATATGTATGGTCAATTAATTTCCACAAAGAAGCCAAAAATGTACAGTGGGGAAAGGAGAGTCTCTTCAATATGTGGTGTTTGGAAAACTGGACAGCCACATGCAAGAAAATGAAACTGGACCACTACCTTAGACCATACACAAAATTAACTCAAAATAGATTAAAGACCTGAAGCCATAAAAATCCTGAAAGAAAAGATAGGCAGTAAGTACCTTGACACTGGTCTTGCCGATGACATTTTGGACCTGACACCAAAAGAAAACTAAAGAAAAACAAGTGGATGGGAATGCAAGCTGGTGCGGCCACTCTGGAAAACAGTATGGAGGTTCCTCAGAAAACTAAAAATAGAACTACCCTACCACCCAGCAATGGCACAACTAGGCATTTATCCCTGGGATACAGGTGTGCTATTTCAAAGGGACACATGCACCCCAATGTTTATAGTATATATATACATATACATATACATATACATATACATATACATATACATATACATATACATAGTATATATACACAAGATGCGATTACTCGGCAATCAAAAAGAATGAAATCTTGCCATTTCCAACTACATGGAGGGAGCTAGAGGATATTATGCTAAGTGAAATTAGTCAGAGAAAGACAAAAGTCATATGACTTCACTCATATGAGCACTTTATGAGACAAAACAGATGAACATAAGGGAAGGGAAACAAACATAACAGAAAAACAGGGAGAGACTCAAATATGGAGAACAAACTGAGGGTTACTGGAGGGGTTGTGGGTGGGGGGGGGTGGGCTAAATGGGTAAGGGGCATTAAGGAATCTACTACTGAGATCATTGTTGCACTATATGCTAACTAATTTGGATGTAAACTTAAAAAAAAAAAAAGTAAGTTGAACACATCAAACTAAAAAGATTCTACAAAGCAAAGGAAGCCATCAATATAATGAACAGGCAACCTACTGAAGAGGAGAAGATATATGCAAATCGTTTATCAGATGAGTGGTCAATATGCAAAATATATGAAGAACTCCTACAACCCAATTTCAGAGAAATAATCCAATTAAAAAAATGGGCAGAGGATTGGAAAAGACATTTTCTGGACAGATGGCCAACAGATACATGAAAAGGTATTCAACACCACTTATCATCAGGGCAATGCAAATCAAAAGCAACTAACACCTGTTAGAATGGTTATTAACTTTTTTCCAAAGTAGGCTCCATGCCCAGCATGGAGCCCAACATGGGGATGCTTAACTGGCAGAGGCACCCAGGTACCCTAAAACGGTTATTATCGAAATAACACGTGTTGGCAAGGATGTGGAGAAAATTGAACTCTTACACACTGTGGGTAGAAATACCAATAGATGCAACCCCTACAGAAAAGAGTATGGAGGGTCTTCAAAAAATTAAAAGGAGAACTACCATATGATCCAACAATTCCACTGCTGAACATTTACCCAAAGAAAAGAAAAACATGAGCTAGAAAAGATATGTGCACCTCCATGTTCACTGCAGCATTAATTCTAATAGCTAAAATATGGAAAAGACCCACATGTCTATTGATAGATGAATGGATAAAGAAAATATAGTATAAATACACAGTGGAGTATCATTCAGCCATTAAAATGAAGGAAATCTTACCATCTGCAACATGGATGAACCTTGAGGCCTTATGCTAAGTGAAATAAGTCAGAGAGACATATACCCTATGACCTTACACACAGAATGCTTAAAAAAAATTAAAAATAAAAATGAAAAAAAAGCCAAGCTCATACTCATGGGTACAGAGAACAGATTGGTGGTTGTCAGAGTGGGAAATATGCATAATGTGTAAACAGAATCAAAAGGTAAGAACTTCTTGTTATAAAAGAAGGCAGTTATGAGGATGTATGTAATGTACAACATGGCAACTATAGTTAGTAATATCATATTGTACATTTTTTTAAAGTTATTTTGAGATAGTGAGCAAACAATAGTGGGGGAAGGACAGAGAGACAGAGAGAGACAGAGAGAGGGAGGGAGGGAGAGAAAGAATCCCAAGTAGGCTCCATGCTCAGTGCTGAGTCCGACACAGGGCTTGATTCCACAAATTGGGAGATCATGACCTAAGCCAAAATTAAAAGTCGAACATTCAACAGACTGAGCCACCCAGGTGTCCCTCATATTGCATATTTTAAAGTTACTGAGAGAGTAAATCTTAAAAGTACTCATTAAAAGTTTTGAGATTAACTATGTACGGTAATGGATGTTAGACTTATTGTAATCATTTCACGTTACATACAAATGCTGAACCATTACCGTGCACACGTGAAATTATGTATATATATGTAAATATAATTGTCAATTATACAAAATCGTCAATTATACAAAAAAAAGGGTCTATACACATTTGTGTACAGGCACATATATATTCACATATTTCTGCAAATGCTGCTAATGGATTTTGTCTAGGAAAAAAGACCACAAACTACAGTATGTTAATAAATGACGATGAATAAAACCAAATGCAAAATATACTAACAAAAGCATATACACACATCCCAAAAAGATTTACTTACCAATGATTCATCATAATCATTAAGGTAAAACAACTGAGACTTCACATTCCAATAGGCAAAAAGGTTATCCAATCGGATTAACTGAAAATAAATCAAGTTTATTACACATCTCATTTTCTTTAAATGATAAACATACGCTATTTTCAGAAGTCTCAAATCACTGAATCATATAATCAAGTTAAGCAAGTAAAAACTCACACGAATCCTTAATAAAAGTCTTTTTTATCAAGTCTATGGGTTGACAGGATATTTATTTTACCTTACGAAAGAGTTTCTCAGTTTCATCATGTAAACATGGAATCCAGAATTGATCAGTTGTCTGAAAATAAAAACAGTGAAAGTGTCACAGCACATGAAATGGCTGACAAGTTGTTATCAACATGCCCTTGACCAATTTCCCATGAAAATGTCCTTGAAAACCTTCAGTGAAAGGATATTAACCACAACAAAGTCTCTGTTTTCAAAGAGCTCACTGGTGACTGAAAAAGCAAACAAGTCAACAGGCAATTACAAACAGGTAAGTGCCACCACAGAGGTTAAATACACAGTTCTCAGAATAATGTAGGAGCCTCAAACTCAGCGGGTAATGGAGAAAGTGATGACTAATACATGATATATGGATAGAAATTACTGATTTTAAGGGGCGCCTGGGTGGCTCAGTCAGTTGAGCACCCGACTTCAGCTCAGGTCATGATCTCACAGTTCGTGGGTTTGAGTCCTATGTCAGGCTCTGTGCTGACAGCTCAGAGGGATTGGGATTCTGTGTCTCCAATTCTCTCTGCGCTCCTCCCCGCCCCCCACTCCCACTCCCACTCTCTTTCAAAAATAAGTAAACATTTTAAAAAATTTGGAAATTATTGATTTTAAGGTTAGTAGGCAATATGATTCAGAGTAGGAAAACATGCAAATATACAACATGTTCAGGGAATTGAAGAAGCCCAGTATTGCCAGAGAACATAAAGCAAACAAAAGAGATGAAACCAGATGTTACCAGGGGTCAGATTAAAATAGATTAAAACTATTTTAAAACAACACTATTGACTTTATTCTAATAGCAATGAGAAGCCACTGAGGGCAATCAAGTGTTTAGATGCTTATTCTACAAAGATGGTTTTCATTTTCTGGTAGAGAACTGAACAGATGACAACAGTGACTTTCAAACTTTAGTGTGTATCAAAATCACCTGGAGGGCTTTCTAAACCCTAGATTGCTGGGCCCCCAGCTGAGTTTCTAACTGAACAGGTCTGCACTAGGGGACCAGTTTCTAAGGTCTCCCAAAGGGGATGGTCAAAACCGCTCTGTCACAGTTACCCATGACCCACATGTTGCCATACCCAGTGTAATTCTCATCCTTCTTTTTCAAACTAACAGCAGCATTTGACAGTTTATCCCACCCAACTTTAGCGAATAACTTTTAATTTGGCTTTTCTTTTTTTGCTTGTAGTAGGTTGTTTTAAGAAGAAATTGTACACAAAAACTCAATGGATATAAATAAATAAAGCATGTAATGAAATACTACAGAGCAATTAAACTGAATTGAATTACATGTAGCAACACAAGTAAATATTAACACTGTGAAGAGAAAATGAAAATTTGTAGAAAAATCATGTAAAGTATTCATGTAAACTTTTAAAAACCTACCGGTATTATACATTTCTAATTGACATATTATACCAAAGTTTAAAAATTTATCTCTGGGAGAAGGGTAAGAGTAGGAAACAAAAGGGTTTTAAACTTTATTCCTAACAGTTTATTCTTTAAAAGTATTCAAAATATAAACCAAATGACAGATTCCTCAACTGTCCACAACATTGATGCAACAAGGTTTCATAATCCTCTATTTGCTCCCATACTTTAAAAATTCCTCAATTTGAAAAATCAGGAATCAAGTTTGCCACCATATTAATAATGGTGGTAAGAAAATGAGTGATTTCTTTATGTTTTTCATGATTTATTGGTTTCTGAAATAAACATTACTTTTATTTTGTATTTATTTAAGAAATGGATTTTTTAAGGAAAAAATATCAAATATATTCTGCAAATAATAGGCCTTCATCTTTTAAACTAAATTTGATTATCAAACATTTTTTGAAATGTTAAACTACCTACCCCAAATTCCAATCTACCTTATGCACTTTCTATACCAATTCTACATAGACACCTATTTTTGATGCTAGCATACAAGAACACTAATAGCTTGATGAACTGCACAATATGGTTAAACTGCTTTTTAAACAAAGTACCTGCATGCTGAGATTTTGAAGGGAAATACCAAATGACAACGGATTGTCTCGATTTGTGATCTAAAGAGAAAAGAGCAAGTTTTACTCAGATTTTTAGTGGTTAAACAAAATTACAGAAAAAGTTCGTTTTCTGGAAAACATTCTTTTTCAAATACTCAAAAACATTTTACTACTTTTTAGAACAACCTTTATTCCTGTGTTTTTCCCAATATTAATTAAAATTTTAAGTATCAATGTATTAGTGTTGCACAATAATAAATCTTTGTATTTTTCAATGTATAAAAGACCAGTTTATCAAAAAACTGACCTCACAATAGTACTGTGAGAAGCCAATAATTATGCATTTTAGAGACACAGGATCTATTTGAGATAAACAATCTAAATCTACCTCTACTGATTCCTAGACCAGTATATAACTTCCAAGAGGCAAATATAAAGTATTCTAAAAATACGTGACTCGCCAACTACATAATGCCCAACTACCCAAGGTGACTGCAATAGAGGAAGGCATTTTCCTTCATTATCTGATTTTTGAACATTTTAGCAAACTGTAATCAAGGCATTAAACACTGCAAACTGAAACTATGATTACAAAACAGAAAGATCAGGTCACCTTCAGATCTGTGTCCCTCCACTTCCCGGCATCCAATAGGCTGGCCACAACAGAGCAGGTGTCAACAAACCATAAAGTATATATATGAAAATATAAAAATAAGTTTCACCTATTAAAATACTTACATCATCTTCATAACGAATATGGATGTTGGAAATTTTCACTTGAAGATTTTTTATGATCTGAGTAATTAATTTTTCTGTGAAAGTGTCCGGTTTCTCCACCTGATGTTTTTCTACAATAGCAAATACTTTTTTTTTTTAACTCGAATGAAAAATATACTCTATAAATATCCATCCACATATGGAGGTAACATAAACATCACCGTGTTAAAGAAAAAAATCTGTCTTTATAAACAGAACACTAAGAGCATCCTTTCCCAAAGTCTTCCACACCAAAGACTCAAAGGCAACCAAATACAAATAGATTCAAAATCTACTTTTTCAATGAAACTAAAGCCAACTATTTAGAACTTCCTGCCATTAAATTTTACAACTATACCTGGGTCCATAAAGACCTGGAAAACAATGAAGATTATTTGGTAAGAATTCTAATAGGCTTAAATTAGAAAAGCCAGAAACAGTAACAAGGAATTGCCCTTAAAATTAGTGATACTATTACAAATTGTCTGTGGTTTGATGTATGAAATACTTGAATATGCTTCTTCTCCTGATGAATCCAGAACAGGAAGATAGGCAATCCTTTCTTCTTTCAAGGAAGAATTAAGGAAATTCATCATTTGTTTCATTTTCTAAAAAAGATATTAACTATCTCCAGTTTCAAAACTTTCCAGGGGAATAGAAAAAACAAAGTATTGAAACTCCTAATTTCTTCCATTTTTAATTTATTTATTTTGAGAGAGAGATGGTGCAAGTAGGGGAAGGGCAGAGAGAGAGAAGAGAGAAGAGAGAAGAGAGAAGAGAGAAGAGAGAAGAGAGAAGAGAGAAGAGAGAAGAGAGAAGAGAGAAGAGAATCCCAACCTAAGCAGGCTCTGTGACACCAGCTGCAGAGCCTGACATAAGGCTTGAATTCATGAACCGTGAGATCATGACCTGAGCCAGAATCAAGAGTCGGTCACTTAAACGACTGAGTCACCCACCCAGCACACCGCTAAGTTCTTTTTTAATATGCATTTGATAACCACGGGTTACTGTCCCTTTTTTCTCCATTTGAAAATGTCAATGAAAGCTATCTCATTTTCTATTTGTAGTCCTGTCTCACTGTACATACAGAGTATTTGTTTTTTCCTCTCATGACCCACTACTAATTCAACTGGCCAAGGAGGACAGGCTGATGAAGATATATTTACATCAAATCCAAGTGTCAGTGAATAGCGGGTAAGTAAATATATTAAATATAAAAAGACTTTAGAATAAGTAAACAAAATAAAAGCTCTTTGAAGACAGAGCATTTTAATCTTTGAATACGACACCACATCCTAATAAAATCCTTTACTCTATAAACCTATTCAGTCATTCAATTAAATGCTTAAATCTTTCTTTCCCTACCCAGTATTTCCTTCTGAATCCCTTAACCAGCACAGATTCCATAATGTCTTATTTCACCAACATTTTCAACCCTTTTATTCCTTTTTGCTCATTTTCCTCTGTCAATAAAGCTCCAACCCTGAATAAAACCAACTTTCTACTTTTTATATCAACATGCTTAACCTTGCCAGCTGAGCACCAGAGAAAAATCACAACAGGACTGAAATTACTATAAATTAAGTATCACCAACTTCATCCCAACAGCCACTTACTACATTTCTCCACTCAACTTGTTCACATGCTCTGGAACAACTAAGTCAAATTCTTTCTGATTCTCCTCAAAAGTCTAACAATCCTTCCATTGCTCTCTTTACTGTTAGATGACCTTGTCTCCAACTTTGGAAGAAACAGAAGTTCCTTTTCCGTAATCGTCACTCAGTGACCCATGACATGCATGACGTAAATAAAATGATTATTTCTTTAATTTACCTAATACCTCGTTAGGATCTGATAAATTCTTTGCTTCCTAAAACACACTTTTCCCATGAAATCATAATCTCCAAATTTCTTTCTACTTATCTGATGACTCTTTTTTTTGTTATTTTTTTGGTGTTTTTTTTTTTTTTAATTTTTTTTTTTCAACGTTTATTTATTTTTGGGACAGAGAGAGACAGAGCATGAACAGGGGAGGGGCAGAGAGAGGGAGACATAGAATCGGAAACAGGCTCCAGGCTCTGAGCCATCAGCCCAGAGCCCGACGCGGGGCTCGAACTCACGGACCGCGAGATCGTGACCTGGCTGAAGCCGGACGCTTAACCGACTGCGCCACCCAGGCGCCCCTGGTGTTTATTTTTTTGAGAGAGAGAGAGAGAGAGAGGGAGACAGAGGACCCAAAGAAGGCTCTGCACTCACAGCAGAGAGCCCAATGTGGGGCTCGAACTCATGAATTGTTAGATCATGACCTGTGCCAAGTCAGACACTCCACTGACTGAGCGACCCAGGTGCCCCTCATCACTCTTTCTTGATTTTTTTTTTCTGTGTTCCTCTTTTACACCATCATTAAAGGTTACATTTCCTTAAGGCTCAGTCCTAGGACTTCTTCTCCTCTCCTCTACTGCTGCTTCAGGGAATCTCATCCACATCATACACCTCAACTATCATTTCAATGCTGGTAACTCACAATTATGTTAGATAGAGTAAAAGTGAGATATATTCAGAGAAACTGATACACTCAATAAACTATAAATAGGTCAGTATGTTTAGAACAAAAGAATAGGGGAGAAAGGGATGGGGTCAGTAATAAGGCTGAAGAGGTAAATAGGATTCAAATCATATGAACTTTTACATATCACGCTGAAGAGTTTAAACTTCTACCTGATAACAATAAGCTATCACTAATGAATTTTAAGCATAAACGTTTCTAATTTTAGACCAATGTAAAAATAAGGACTTCTGATTAAACATGGTGGATTGTTATCTATTTTTCTACTTCTCAGTAAGACCTCATTAATGCAAAAGTAAAGGGGGAAAATGGATAAATCCCCAAGGTCAAGAAAGAGTACAGGAAAAAAACAGGTAAGATATACCTTCAGTAGTCTGGAAGCTAGAATGCAGATGGCCTTAACCTACTTAGCAGAGATGAAGAAATTCTTCTAAATACCTATAATAAATGGAGAGGCCAATAATAAAGATGAGTCAAAAGCCAGAATCCTGGGAAGATTCAGGAACTGGAGTCCTCAGAGAACATAAATGGCAGGGAGAGGATGATAATACAAGGATTGGCTTAAGTCTGGTGTAATTAGTAGTTAGACTTCCAGGTATCCTCCCTCCCTTAGTCCACACAGCCATACAACTATCCTTTTCCCATCCTAGTGAGAAGCAAGAATTTCTTCCGAAGAAAATACACGCAACAGACTGCAGACTCTAAAACCATGTACTTACAGATACAAGGAGATCCATCACATTGAAACCAGACACGTTAAGAAAAACTTCTATATAATAATCACCCTACATCCACCTACTACTGCCAAGGAAATAATAAAGTTGCACCAAAAAACATATGTAATCAGAGCATATATACTATTTGGCTCAGTAGTAAACATTTATATATAGCCATAACAACATAAACAATGAATACTGATTTAACCAAACATGCAATTATACTAGAAAGACAGAAAAATGGGTCAACCTTACAGTCCATAAAAGGAAGCCTCTCTATATAAATAACGTATAAGCATAATGAATCAAGTAATAGGGATGTGATCATCTTATATAGTAGCATGGAAGTAACCACAAAAACACTTTAAAACTTAAAAGTAGGGGCTCCTGAGTGGCTCAGTCAGTTGAGCATCTGACTTCAGCTCAGGTAAGATCTCACAGTTGGTGAGTTTGAGCCCCACATCAGGAGCGCTGCTGTCAGTGCAGAGCCCACGTGGGGTCCTCTGTCCCCCTCTCTGCCCCTCCTCCACTCACACTCTCAAAAGTAAATAAAAACATCAAAAAAACCCCAAAAAACTTAAAAGCAGATCTATATGGAGCAGGCTTAGGAGCTGAGCCAGGAGACAGAATTTCTAAATTGTGGTACTAATATTACTTACTAACTTTTAAATCTATGTATATGTATTATTTTGAGAAGATGAAAATAATTTTTAAAAGGCAAAAGCCTAGGAGACTTAGTAAAGAAAGGATTGGAGAAGAGGAAAATGGCAGAGTAGAAAACACCAAGAATCTGTCTTCCTAGCTAGATAACTCAATAGGCAAAATGTGCCTAATGTAAAGATTCTGGAACTCCAGAATCTACTGAAGGCTTGCAACTTGCAACTTGCAGAGAAGGCTTGAATGTAAACTGCACTCCATTCACATCCACTTTAGCTCTTACCATAGCAGCAGCTCACCCGGGCCCCTATTCTCAGGCCTACTGCAGCCAGCCGTGCACACATTCCTGAAGCACCTTGCAACTCAACTTGCAGGAACCAAGGTGGGAAGAAAGGACCCATCCTCCAAATATTTGGAGATTTGTGCTCTAATGGCTAGTTGCTGCTCCTGATCACAGAGAAGGGTGGTTGTGGTCACTGCACCTTTTTCAACTGTTGCAAGCCCCTCCCTCTCCAGCCAAAGCGACATCCAGGGCTTTTAAAGGACTCGCAACCTTTTTTGTTTTTGTCCCCCTTCATTGTTCTCTTCTCCCCATTTGTGAGCAAAACATTACAGACTAGGACATTCAAAACCAACTCCATATGCAGGGAAAATAAGAATGTGACCATACACATTCAGGGAAAGGCATAGGCTTGGGCTCAGCAAAGTCCTGAGAATACCTTACATTTATACCTCAGACTGATCCTTGGACTAGGGATAGCCTACAATAATGAAAAAGAAAAAAAAGCTTTAAAAAAAAAAAAAAGAAAACAATGGGAATGGGGGTGAATCTCATTTCCACAGATATCACATTATTATATCCAAATATCTAGATTTTAAAAAGAATCACCAACGATACAAAGAAGCAGGAATATATGGCCCATTTAGCAGACAAAAAAATAAGTTAACAAAAACTATTCCTGAAAAAGATACGATGACAGACCTACTACATTTTTTTTTGCTGTTGTTTACTTATTTTGAGAGAGAGTGCAAGTGGGGAGGGGCAGAGAAAAGAAGGGTAGAGAATCCCAAGCAGGCTCTGCACCATCAGTGTGGAGCTGGACATGGGCACTGAACTCACAAACCATGAGATCATGACCTGAGCCAAAGTCCAGAACCAACTGAGCCACTCAGGTGCCCCACTAGACAGACTTTAAAACAACTGTCACATAGATGCTCAAAGATCTAAAGGAAGATGTGGAGAACATCAATAAAATAATGAATGAAAAAATAGAAATATCTATAAAGAAAAAAACTAAAAAAAAAAAAAAAATTCAGAAGCAGCAAAGTACCATAACTAAAAGGAAAAATTCATCATAGAGATTCAAAGGGAGACTGCAATAGACAAACTTGAAGACAGAACAACAACAACAAATTATTAAATTTGAGGAACGGAAAGAAATAAATTGAAGTGAACAGAGCCTAACAGACACCCAGGGGACACCAAGTGGACCAACACATGCACTGTGGGAGTCCCAGACGGAAAAAAGACAGAGAAAGGGCCAGAGAGAATATCTGAAGACATACTGGCTGAGGGACTCCCGTGTGGCTTAGTCAGTAGAGTGTGCAACTCTTTATCTAGGGTTGTAAATTCGAGCCCCACACTGGGTGTTTAGATGACTAAAGAATGAAAAATCTTTAAAAAATAAAAACTAAAAAATGAGAAACACTAGCTGCAAACTGGCCACATTTAAAGAAAGACATGATTATATTCACCTAGGGAACTCAAAGAACTCCAAGGAAGAACTCAAAGAGACCCAAGGATACAAATTATAAACAAACGTTCAAAGACCAAAGATAAAAAGAGAATCTTGAAAACATCAAGAGAGAAGCTGCTCATCACATGGAAGGGATCGTTAATAATTTTATCAATAGATTTTTCATCAGAAAAAAGGCAGAAAGGCAATGGACCAAATTGCTGAAAGTGCTAAGAAAAAAAAATCTTTCAACCAAGAATTCTATATCCAGCAAAAATGCCCTTTAAGAGTGAGGGAGAAATAAAGACATTCCAAGATAAATAAAAGCTGAGTAAGACTGTCACCAGACCTTCCCTACACAATAACCAGAGATACTGCATGAAACAACAATGATCCCAACAAAAGATAACACATCTGCAATTATCAATTATCGTTACCATAACAGTGGTTTGTAACTCCACTTTTTGCATTCTACATGCTTTGAGAGACCAATGTACTTATAAAAAAAAACTTCTTAGTCTAAATGCTAGTATTATGGTAACTTTGCTTTGTAACTCAGCCTGTTGTTTTCTAATTATTTAAGACACTAATCTATTCAAAATAGTTTGTTTTCGGCAACAATATATAAAGATGCAATTCTGTGACAACAGCAATTTAATAAAGTGAGGAGGTGGGGCGCCTGGGTGGCTCAGTCGGTTGAGTGTCCGACTTCAGCTCAGGTCACGATCTCACCATTCGTGAGTTCAAGCCCCGCGTCAGGCTGTGGGCTGATGGCCCAGAGCCTGGAGCCTGCTTCCGATTCTGTGTCTCCCTCTCTCTCTGCCCCTCCCCCATTCATGCTCTGTCTCAAAAATAAATAAACATTAAAAAAAAAAATTAAAAAAAAAAGTGAGGAGGGAGATGTGAAAGAGTACAGTTTCTGTATGTTACTGAGGTTAAGCTAGTATAATTTAAAGTGTTCTAACTTAAGGATGTCAAAAATGTAATTCTCAGGGTATCCGTAGAGAAAATACCTATAGAATATGCACGAGATGAATGAAATAAGAATTTAAATTTTTTTTTTTTTAAGATTTATTTTTGAGACAGAGAGAGAGCACAAGCGGGGGAGGGTCAGAGAGAGGGAGACACAGAATCCAAAACAGGCTCCAGGCTCTGAGCTGTCAGCACAGAGCCCGACGCGGGGCTCGAACTCACGGGCTGTGAGATCATGACCTGAGCCAAAGTCGGCCGCTTAACCGACTGAGCCACCCAGGCGCCCCGAAATAAAAATTTAAACATTTCATTATACAAAGTCAACCAAACTCAGAGAGTAACGCAGTAAATGAGTGACAAATAAGGCACACAGAAAACAAATGGCAAAAGGACAGAAGTACGTCTGTAAGTTATCAGTAATTATTCTAAAAGTATATGGATCTGGGGTGCCTGGGTGGCTCAGTCAGTTAAGCATCCGACTCTTGGTTTCAGTTCAAGTCCTGACCTCATGGGTTTGTGAGTTTGAGCCCTGCATCGGGCTTTGCAATGGCAGCTCAGGACATGCTTGGGATTCTTGCTCTCCCTCTCTCTCTCTCTCCGCCCCTCCCCTGCTCATGTACATGCTCTTTCTCTCTCAAAGATAAACCATTAAAATATATATATATATAATATACCAATATTAGTTCATATTTATATTTGTACATATACACACATATATGTACATATGTATGCATATATATGGATATGGATTAAACAGTCTACTCAAAAGACACAAACTGAATGGTTAAAACACAAGACCCACTGTTCTCTGGTACATCTAAGACATTTTCCATGACAGAACGCATATTAGGACACAAATTAAGTCTAACTAGATTTAAAAATATAGGTATCATGCAAAGTACCATCTTTGACCATATCAGAATAATGTTAGAAATAAAACACAGAAGTTGGGGTTCCTCAGAGAGCTCAGCAGTGGCTCTCTGCTGTGAGTGCAGAGCCTGCTTCAGATCCCTCTCTCTGCTTCTCCCTAACTCACGTGCTCTTGCTCAAAAATTAGCAAACGTTTAAAAAAATAAGAAAATGGGGCGCCTGGGTGGCGCAGTCGGTTAAGCGTCCGACTTCAGCCAGGTCACGATCTCGCGGTCCGTGAGTTCGAGCCCCGCGTCAGGCTCCGAGCCATCAGCCCAGAGCCTGACGCG